GAGCAAATAGAAAGAATGATTTACATTCCAACTAAAATTCTCCTTTAGCCTATCTTTTGATAATAATGATAATGGTAATAGTGTTGATAATGATAGTGAAGGTAAAGTTGATTGAGAATCTCTTCAAGTCGCAATATCCCCAATCAATGCCTTCACTCCTTACAATCCTTATCAATCAATCAACTGTTCCTAGTCAAACCGATTTAAACCGATTGTGAACAAAGCAATCAATCCATATATATCCACATGTATATAACAGAAAAGATAATAATAATAATAATAATAATAATGATAAATAATAAAAGTGAACAAACAAATAAATAAATAAATGAGTAAATAAATAATAATAACAAACACTGTAATAATGTTGAGTAAAGTAAAGCTAATACAAAAAGGCCAGATCAGTTGTTATTAGTTGGATGGAATGCGAAAATAAATTGATAATGTCAAGTATCTGTTCATACAACTATTTCACTCGGTTTTTTTTCTTCTTTTTTAAATTATACCATTCATTAACTGATATCACTCTTTACCATATTTTTCTTTCCTTTTTATTGCATAGTTTAATAATAAAGGAGGAAGTTTTGGTTCAATTTATGTGATCATTCCTTCCTTTAATGTATTTCATTCGAATTTGATAACAGTAATAACAGATTCTTATCAGTATATCAGTATAGCCATATGTTTATTCTAAATAAGAAGGAAGTATGGATTAATAATTTGAAATTGAGTAACATTTTGAAGAAAGAAATGAAAGTTGATGCCACAAAATGGAGGAACAATCCTTATTGCCTTATTAAATTCTTTCATATTTTTTTAATTTCAAATGTTTCTGTGCAAAATTTTGAGAAATTTTTCACTTCTAGAATTGTAAAATGTTTTCATATGCCAATGGTTGTTTTTGATAAAACAAATTAGAAAAACTATTGCAATTGAGGAAACCATTAAGAGTTCTACAAGCATTTCCAAACTGACATTTCTTCTAAATCATTTATTTCCTTTTCATTTTCTTCATTTTTCTTTAAAATTTCATTTGAAAATTATTATTATATCAGGTGTAGCACACCAAATGATAAGTTGAAGTGTGTTTTTCTTTTTAATTTAGGTTTACATTTCATTTTAAAAATCATACTTTCAAATTGAAATATTAAGAAAAAAGTATCATGATAAGGTTGAATAAACAATATGACCAGATTAAGCATCATGATCAGCTTTAAAAAAAATATGACCAGATAAAGCATGATGATTAGGTTATTCAAGCATAATCATTTCAGCTTCCATTTTCTTTTCATTCAGTTAATAAGAGAGTTTTAAAATGTTCATCCATTTATTTAACATAAATTTTTTAAAGTTCAAAAATTTTTCATTGTCTTCAAATTTTAAAAATTGTTGTTTGTCTACGATTTTCAAACCGATATGTCAAATTTTTTTTTTCGCTTCCAGTTAGATTCTTTTATTTCGCTGTTAAAATTCATTGTTGAATGAATGAACATTTGTTACAATATGTAGGAAATATACCAGCAAATATTCCAATAATATGAAACAGAAAATTCTTTTTTTTAAAAAAACTAATTCAAATGAAATGAAATGAAACATTTTGAAATTGAATTAAATTCGATTAAAATGAATCAAATTACTATTTTTTAAACACCTTTCACTATGTTAACTTGATCTGATCAAATCAATTTAATGCAATCTTTTAATGATTTAAAATTCAAACTCTACGCTAAAATCACCATTTAGGAGAGAATATTGCTCTTGTCTGTTATTGTTGTCATTTATGTGACTAGGTTGATTAGGCCTGTGGTGGTGATTTATCATTGCTTATGTGTTTGGTTAGGCCATTAACATTTTGTTAATCTTCCCATATTTTCTTCTTTTTCCTCATCTCACCTATCCAACCAATCATTCCTTTTTATCCAAACAACCAGCAACAACGGAATTTCAATTATTTCAGAATGAAAAAAAAAAAGAAGGAATGTCAAGAGAGAAAAAAAGCAAAGAGAACAAAAGTAAACGAATATCTAAAGAGCGAAATAGCACGGTCGATACATCTAAATCCAATGAAAAGATAGATTAAGTAAATGAAGTACGCTTCTCACATTCCAACTTTCTTTCTTTTTTCATTTTATTTTTGGAAAAGAATTTTTGTGTTTGAAAAAATTTGGCTCGTTTGCTTGTTACATTTTTTTCAATTCTTTCCACCTATGAAAACATGTTTTTGACAATTGCATGTAGCTACTAATTCTATGGAGCAATTAACCTCATTAGCAAGCATTATTAATTTGACCTTTTATACTTTGGTTTGAATTTATTGGCATTTGTTGAAATGTAATAAAAATTACTTCCCACCGTCCTTTTTCCGCCTTATCTAAAATTTGAAATTTAAAATTAGTTAAAGCATTCCTTTTCTTTTTCACAATGCATATTTTATTTTTTATCATAAATATCTGCATTTAATTTATTTTTCCAAAAAAAGGTATAAAAATTGATATTGTTCAAAATTTTCAACTCTTTCCAACTTTCTATCTTTAAAAATTATTTTATTGATTTCTATCGTCATAAATTAGTTATTTAATTACTCCAAATGAAATATTTCAACAATCGATAATTTCAGTTCTTCTATTTCAAATGATTCATTTTCAAGTCTGAAATTTGTAATTCAAACATTGTCATTTCCCTGTAGTGATATTTTTTATCATATCATTTTCGTTTTTTTTTTATCATTTTTATCATTCGAACGCAGATATGTTTACTCCATTTTTCTTCCAATTTCAATCTCTTCTTTCTTTTTTTTTATTCCCTCATTTGAGTTGAAAACAAACAGTACCTGCGTTTGGTTCGGTTATTATCATTTCAAATTCCTTTTCAGTTCGAAATATGTTGCGTTCTCTTTCCTACACAATCAGTCTTTCCACTTTCACTACATTTGGTGCAATCAATCAAATGATGTTTTCTAATGAAAAATAAATTCTGCTATTATACCATTCCTTATTTTACACTTTAATGATGTTTAGTGTCTTATTTACTTGAAAAATGATTAAAATTTACCTTATTTCATGCAATATTATTGCATAACTTATGCAAATTATTCCTCTCATTAGAATGAAATTTTGGTAGGAAGCTGAAATGATTACATTATGTTAGTTCGAAAAAGTGATAGCATTTAACAGATGTGGTGAAGAGATAAGAAGAGTGAGAGTCTAGGCTTTCTATCAAAATAATAAATTACTTAAAAGCAGACACAGCAAGCTCAATGCTTAGCAATTTGAAAGATTACCATTATTTCAATTAGTTTTCATTGCTAATGCCTTTTAAAATTTACAAAAAGCCATTCTTTTGCTGAAATATTTTAAAATGAACATTTTTTCCTCTCTTAAACTAACATCCAACTACCTGTTGGATAGACTATTCGTTTCTTTTCACCGAAGAAAACTTTGCATTGAATATATTTAGCGCTTTCATACCTTTGGAACTTCTTGATAAGATGCAAATTGAACAGAAGGTATCTCAGACGGATAATCGGTAATTAGTTCAAGTCTTTCTGCTTCTTTATTTTCAATTTCAAATCGAAAAAGTTGCTTACCAAATGAAATAAACTATCCGAAAATCAAAATGCAAATTTATTTGGCAGCAGATAATTGCCAAATAATGATTCATGTTTTTTTCCCGAAATTTTGCTTGTTCGGAATAGAAAATTCGTCTCATCTTTCATATAAATATTTCAAACTCCTTTTTCATCACGAATCAAATATTCCAAATTAGTTAATTCTATTTCGATTAAATCAAATTCAGCCAAACTTTCAAATGAAACCTTTCTTTTAATTCAATTTTTTAATTCAAATATTTTAATCCAAAGCACCACAGTTTAACTCCCATAAGTTTCATTCATTTCTTTTCATACGCATCCATTTCCAATTTTCTTCTCTTTCAGCTCATTTCGATCATTACAAATTCAAAAAATGAAAGGAGCAAAAACAATCGATTAATAGCATTCATTCCCTTTCATGCAAGCAATGAAAGCATCATTGTCAATTTCATTTCCTATTTTATATACTATATATATTATATATTATATTTTGATATATGTGTTTACTTCACAATAATACTTCTTCAAACTTAGTAAAAGAGGAAATAAGTCCAAATGCTTCTTCGTTATCATCATCATCATCATCATCATTTTCATCATTATCCCGACATATTCATCATTATCATCATCATCATCATTTTCATCATTATCCCGACATATTCATCATCATCATCATTGTCCCGACATATTCATCATTATCATCATCATCATCATTTTCATCATTATCCCGACATATTCATTCATCATCATCATGTCC